TGACCGTAGCCAAATGTTGACGGAAGGACGCACGGACGGACGGACGATCATGCGATTCTACAAGCTGCATCTGACTATGTCAGATGAGCTAAAAATGCCACACAGACTACGAATATGAATACATACAGGAGTGCAATAGGACAGAATAGGAAAAGATAGGAAGAGGAATAAGGTAGAGCACGAATAGGAACATAATAGGATCAGGAGAGGATGGGATGTGTGCAAATCTGTATAGAACTGTACCCTTCAGATTCCTATTTTCACTCTGAATTTCATGTGTATAACAGCACCAGGCTGAGCATGTAGCAATGGCAGGAAATTTTGAGAAAATCGTATATCTGTAATAGTATGTTCAGTTTATAACACTATTTTCCCAAATTAACTTATGTGAAATTTAATGTTTAATTTTTTTATGTTTAATTTTAATTTTTAATTTTATGAGGTCAAAAAGCAAAAACATATTTAACCTTACCTTGTCGACATAGTCACCGACAGGCAGTGCTGCGTTGACTGTCATGGAAACCACACATCGAATGATGCTAATGCCAGTGCTAACCCACACCTTCAACGTACAATACAAATAGTAATGAGATAGACGTACATTACCTCGCATGAGTTCTCAGGTGCAACATCACAAACCGATCCTATATCGTTAGGACGCAAAACGTTTGCAGGTAAGTTTGAACATCATGGTTGAGTGAAATCAACCAAGTTATCCCTATATTGTGCTTTAAATAATGTGTATTTTGATAATAAGTTCTTACAACTCTTTTATCAAAATGAGAGGAAAGGTCTCTCTTTGCAAAAAGCTCGCGTAGTGAAAAGACATCTGCACATTCCAGCACTCTAATTTAAGTAACACCCACCTTCCAAGAAAGTGCCACTTAAAATTTACTCGTGCAAATACATTTTTAATTTGTCTGGATTTTCAATTAGTACATAAATGCATCATTTAATTACATTCTACAATCATGCCGAATGTGTTTGTTGTAGACTTCTAAATTATGTTTGAATAGATTATTTTAACCAATGCAACATTACAGTTGCATCTATGATATACAGGCAGTTTCTGGATACTAACATCTGACTTATTTAAACTCGTGTCGATGTGCTCGTCTGACATCAAAATAAAGTTGTCCCAGGCAAGCGATCTGTGAATTTTACTCACCAAACCAAAGAAAGCTGAGAATATCGGTGTGCTAGTCTGCTTAAGCTTTGTTCTTGCACGTTTCAACCTGGCTAGTAAGAACACCAGAAACAGCGCATTCGGAATCAATATCGCGAGATCCCATACTCTTACTCTGAAACAACAAAAATGTGCGACATATAAGAATCATATAACCTCTGATACATGATTCAACATGTGCATAGATTATGCAATACAACAAGGCGGTAAATTTCCTTTTACTCATTTCATGTCTAAACCACAAATTACCTGACAAATGCCTAACACCACAGTCAAATTCAAGATGATAACGTTGACTCCGAAACAGATAAAAGCCCGTACTGATACACGCACGTACATTTATGCCATGGCTTGCTTGCCTGGCCCCAAGATCATCACAACATATTCTCAGTAAATGGTCATACACAGCTAGATACCTGGAATGTTCAATCTCCAAATAGAGCACTTTCTTGCAGATTGTCTCGTCGGTAATGTTCGTCCAGTTAGCCATTACAATACTTGGTTTTGTCATGCGACTACTGTCGTCGTCTGTTATGGTGAACAATTCGTTACAACTGACATCATGCAGCTGCAATACTAGCAACCACACAGAACCTCTTCTAGCTTCGTGCCGTTGTCCCCTAGAACATTGAAATGCATAAAAACAAACTAAGGAAAGGGTTGCAACTTTTACTTTAATGCACTAACCAATAGAATAGCCTAGTGTTGTCAATCGGTTGTAATTTCGTAATCGATCATCGGTTGGACCCAAGTAACCGATGATCGGTTACAATCGGTTTTTTCGGGGTGTTAAATGCCTGCGTGTGCGTAACGTCGTGTGCATGTACGTGTGTGCATGTATGTGCTTGTTTAGCCCTGTTTACTGTTTGTTTTGCACTGTTTACTACTGTGGCAAGTCATGTCCTTTTTGGACAAATGGGGGAAGGACACGGGAAGGGTTGCAAGTTGTAAAAATTTGAGTTGATCATGTGTCATAAGTGACCGCGATAGACAGGTCAACTTGGTTTACAGCTCAAAGATACATGCACCAAACCAGGGTAAGAAATACTTTTTTTTCACCAGAGCCATTTTTCTGACTTGTCAAAAATTTACCAGAGCCATTTTCAGTTTCAAAATTTTCGAAAAATACGTAATATAATGTACTCTTATTTTATTTGTAGGGATGTACATCAATGTAAATTGTATGTATTATTAATTCCATGAGTGTGTCAAATTTTCTGTTAATACATGTACCTATAATTATATTTACATTACTACATATCACTAATCAGTAATCACACTTGTTAACTCATGATCCAAACATCCTTTGAATCCATTCGCATCCGAGGCTCCGACACCTCTGACCTCTCCCATCTTCTAAGTTCTATCATAGTACCATACTACCATTCTGTCCATCACTCCCCTTCTCACTCTTTTCTCTCTACATGTACACATGCTTCACTAGTCACTACTTCTAGATTGCTTATTGTTTTGTTACTCTGTAATAAACATACAGAATGAACCACGTTATCTTTTCGTTTGGATGCAAATAAACGTTTTTTTATATAAAAATACCACTGTGCAGTTGTTTGTTTCTTTTCTCAATCTCAAAATATGAAAGTACACGGTTAATTTGTCAGTCTCACAGAGCTGTGTGCCTGTGAGTCTGTGACATCACATCACATCTGTCAGCATAGTTTATCATTGACTATCATTCAGTTTCAACAGACAATGTATGAATGCAATTGTAACCACATCATTGCAGATTAATACAAGGCAAGAGCTGGATTCAGCTGGTATTATTGTTCAGTTAAATTTAAATATGAATGAAAGTGTCAACAGTTTCTAGTTCTACACTCTGTTGTATAACTTTTACTATCAATTGTATTTTATTATGCGTCAGCGGGTTGATCTAGCCAACGCCAGCTGCAGCGGAGACATAAGCTGGGTTTACACTGACAATTTTGAGTTGCCGAATTGTACAAACTTGGCAGTTTGGCAACTGACAATCGCCAGTGTAAACGCAAAAGTCGCACGTCCAACTGATCGATAGCAGCGAGTTGGAAGATTAGAACATGTTCTAATTTCCCCAACTCGGAGCAGGCGAGTTGGACGTTTTTTTGCCAAGTGGCCAATCAGACAACAGCAATAAGGGGTGTGTTCCTCCACCCTAGGGGGAGAGCACGTCTCACGGTCGATAACGTAAGAGCTTTGAACATATATATATAGAGAGGTTGGTAGAAAGAAGAAAAACGCCAACTTGACTGCATATAATCGTCAGTGTAAACCCAGCTTAAGCCGCTGCTGCATGCACGGTGTATATGTAGCGCTCGCTGTACGTACGTACTTGTGTACATTTCAATTGATCAGGCCACGGGAGTGATTTTCTCTCGAGCGATCGCTCCTGTTATTGTTCTTACCAGAGCAATTTTAGAGCTTACAGAGCGAAATTGCTCGTCGCTCCCATGTATTTTTTTCCCTGCACCAAGCTGTGAAACCAGCATCACTGTGTTAATATTGTTAAAATTAAATACAGCTGTAAATTAAGGAGTGTTAATTAGGCAATTAAGGTAAATTGGAGGATTTAGGCATTGTCACATGATCTTAAGCCAATTTACAATGAATTTATGCTGTTTTTTTTTCCTTTTGATCTTTTGATTTTGCCACTTACACGGTTGAACTGCACATACAATAATTTTAATGAGATGCTCATTCATGGTTATAGCCTGTAGGGTTATGAATAGGGTTAGGTAGTGGGTCTGGTTAGGGGTAGCCCTGACCATGAAGCCTAGCTTTTATCTCCAACTACAGGACTCTATGAAGAACAGTGCTGAAATGGCAGTGAATCTTGGCAGCATGGCAGGCTAACTGGTCTCTGCTCGCTAACGCCACTACTATTTAAATCGGACAAGGCTACACATTTGTGTTTCTGGTTTATTTCCATTCGATAAACAACCCAAGCTAGTTAAATTACGGGGAGTTGAGCCTAATATGAGGATGGTAGGCTAAATTCGAGACATTTATCGTTCCAACAAGTGCATTTTTCTGTATTTTAACACGGGTTACAGCTTAGGCTGACATGCTTACGATTTACTACCATTTCCCAGCACTGTTGTTCACGAAGCCCTATAGCTGAAATTTTTTGATGTGTGAGCAATTCTTGGAGCTGAGTACTGAGTAGGCAGGGTGGTAGCTAGGGGCGGGGTAAGAGGGGTAGTAGCTCTAGTACTATAGCCCGCGTACAGTTGCCGCAGGGCTATAGGACATTCTATTTCGAATGCTAGGGACCAACTTATTCACAGTTACTAGCACTAGCAGCTATAAAACTTCTGTAGTAGGCAATTAATGCCTCTTATCCGAAGTGAATATGTCTTAAGTTACTGTTATATCCCCAACTAAAATTTAAACTTAAATGGTCTGCTTGCGGTATTTCTTGTGAACGAACATTCGATTTACGAACTTCAACAGCCATTTTTGGTGGCGCTGCAGCAGCGCCAGTCAGCGGGCTGGTCCCTAGCATTCGTAATAGAATGTCCTATAGCCCTGCGGCAACTGTACGCGGGCTATAGTACTAGAGCTAGAGGGGTAGATGCCCACTAAGAGAAATGTAGCTACATTAGGCCTACAATGGTTACTGTCATTCATCGTCCCAGAATTCAACACGCACGTGGCTGTGCCCCCGAGGAAAAATGGGAATTAGCTACGCTCCTGAGGTGCGTTTAAAAAGACCATTTATTCTTGTTTGTGCAGCATAGCGGCGTGCCTGCACGGCTGCAGTGTACTTAATTGTGAGTTGTGTGTTGCAGAAGATCATTAGAACGGAATTTACAGGAAATTATCAGCAATAATAGTTGAAATAAAGTAGAGAATTTGGTAGTAAATACATTTCGTGTTTATTAACCATCAGTTTTAACTATTGAAACGTATCAAGTGACAAGTGCCTGTGGCTGTGACTGTGCGAGTCAATCAAGGGACATCATAACATCAGCCTCCTACTCCTAGTCCTGATAACATAAGCCGTCAACAGACGGGTCGAAAAAATTGTAACAAAACAACAACATAAACAAACACTGAAACAGGAATTCAATCAAATAATTATACAAACGCAAAATTTAAGCTATACTGCATGGTTTCTGTGAAAACGATTAGAATTGTTCACATGATGACAACTTACTAGAATTTGTGTGAAGCTTGTAAGGCTGACGTTCTCCAAAATAGTTGTTTTCTGTCGTTGCAGCGGCGTGTTGAGAGATTCCTTCCGATTGGTCGGCAATGACAAAACTGCGCAGGAGCCGCTAGTTAGATTCCGTGTAACATATGCAGACACGAGCAAGATGGACGCGCCCTGGCAAATCCAAAACGTATACACTGTAAAATTGTAGCTACGTGCAAATCACAAATCACACTTACATTGTAACTTAATTATTTATAAAACAAGTAGAGTGTTGTTGTTGTTGTTACAGATATAGATACTTGTAAACACAAACGAGCAGGTTCAGTCATACCCGTAATGTATTTACTAAATTAATATGGAGAACCACTGCCACTGCCACAGTGAAATTACAAACGTTGCAAAAAACACACTGGAGGAACTAAGTGATACAAGTCTCGTGAAAAATACGGAGCCTGACGACAAAACTACTGACACAGCTCGTATTAGCAGGTGTTTAGAAAAACATGACATTGAAAAAGACATGAGTACGATACCGGTTAGTGAGCAAGCGCATCACGGAGGCCAAACCCACGACGTCCCGGCGAGTGCAAACACAGACAGTGCACGGCCAGATGATGATGGAAATCGGACGTTAGCACACGATTTAGGTAACAGTGCAAGCAAACTAGATACTGAACAGCAGTGTCATCACAGCTGTGAAGGAAGTGCAGAACAGGCAGAGACAGCACAGACCTCCGTGAGTAACACGGAGGCCGAGTCGACGCAGGTTGACAGCGAGAGCAAGTTGGAGGCGAGTAGCGACTATAAGCATGGAGCCATGTTTGACTCGCTTCACGGCTTCGATGAGATAACGGATGAGGACAACGATACAGACAGCCAGGACTCTGTGTTCATCACTCACAACCCCGCGTTCATATCCAGTGTCACTAGCTGGACGTCAGAATTTCAGGACGACGTCATGGCGCAGTCACAGCAGCAGATGACCGACAGCACAGCATCCCTGGGCAGTGCGGCTGGACCGACCACGACCCTGATCGAACCACAGACTGGCGCTAAACCAAAAATCGTGTCAGGCTCACCGAAACATGGTGCATCGAAGCGAGGGGCCGTTTCTCCGAAATTGCGGCGGGCAGCCAAGCGGCCCGAAACTCTTTCCCTCCCAAGACCTGTAGTGATGCTTGACAAAAAGGCAGGCAAGGGTGAAGGGAAGAGAGATGATCAGTCACCTCTAGATGGAATGATAGAGAAAGAAGGAGACCTCATATCGTTTATTGCCAATGATCTGGAGGAGAAAATCAAGATGAGTAGTCCTCTATTGAAGCAAGAAGGTATATGTGATGGTATACTATACATGGCTATGTATTATACTTCTCATGAAATGCTACTATACTGTGTCTGTGTATGAGTGACTGCCAATTGGCATGTTCCATGGGAGTCAAACGAGGAAAACAAATGAGTCATTGAATTGACATTTGGACAGTTGCATCAATCCAATTATCAAATCAAAGTTATAGAAGCTACCAAGATCTAAATACTGTGCGCGTAATTTGTGCAGCTTTTGTAACGCTGAATATTCTCTTCCAGAGATCAGCTTTGCTCAGCCCCCGAGCAGCAGCAGCAGCACCCGGAGTGAGATGAATGCTGGCATTCCTATCATTGACCCGCAGGCGGTCGTCGACCTTGAACTTCAGGCACATCGTGTAGCTGACAGTTTACACTTTATGATGGAAAACCTTAGTGCCAAATTGCACAGTGTAAGTATAGTCAAGATAGTAGTAGTGTCGTATGGCGTCAACATCGGACCTCCACAGCCCCACGACTATGAGGGAATGCTATACGAGCGTTATAAACTCCACCTCGTCTTCTATGTTAATATGTTTTTTTGTTTCTTTATAATCTAGAGAATTTCATAGAAATTTCTCATAATAATTGCATTATATAGCATTCCGTTGCAAAACGAAAATCGAAGAGAGTGTATGCTATAGCATTACTCTGGCATTTCTGTTATCTGCACAGTCTGATGTGTTGTTCCTTACAGATGTCCGCACTCACGGTTGCCTGCATGCAAACATACCGAGACTCTGTCAGCTCAACTTGCGACAACTTTGACGCAACCATTAAGGTAACACGATATTTAGGTGCGAACGACTTGGTCGCGACTCACTTTCTTTCACTGCAGCCACAGTTCATAAGAAATAGCGGCTTTAAATGTGAACATTGGCAGTCAGGCTTCGGTGGCAGAGGCAAGATGGCGTTGCGGAAAAGAGCATTGTTCCCCGACCGCCGAGAGCGGATAAGCTGTGCACTTCCACGGGAGCTAGGCGCACGCGGCTACAGAGTGTTCTACGCAGCATCTCGCGCTGCCCACTATACGGATCCGCGCGCCGAATACGAGGGCGGGCGCGCGAATCCATATTGCGGGCAGCGTAACATCGCGCAGTTTTCGTGACAACTACACAACTGACCCCCGCAGAGACAGAGACAGAGAAAGAGAGAGGGGAGAGCACCGGGGAGCGGGGAGGGGGGCCCAGCAGGGAGGGGGGCCCAGCAGGGAGCGGGGAGGGGGGCCCAGCGGGGAGGGGGGCCCAGCGGGGAGCGGGGGGGCCCAGCGAGGAGCGGGAAGGGGGGCCCAGCGGGGAGCGGGGAGGGGGCCCAGCGGGGAGCGGGGAGGGGGGCCCAGCGGGGAGCGGGGAGGGGGGCCCAGCGGGGAGCGGGGAGGGGGGCCCAGCGGGGAGCGGGGAGGGGGGCCCAGCGGGAAGCAGGGAGGGGGGCCCAGTGGGGGGCGCGGAGGGGGAATTCTGTGCATATAAGCGCTAGAGCCATGCGCGCACGCTGCGCAAAAACAGCTGCTGTTATCTGGCGCTCTGTCTCTCTCACGCGGCTGGCGGCCGGCTGCTCTGCGCCATGCTGGCATTCGTAAAAACACCTGGCTGATTGACATAACAGTTTGCTCGGCAACAGACGACGTCATCGGCTAGCGGCCAACCAGCGAGCACTTGCTCGGTGATTGACAGCATTTTTGGGCATTTCTCTTTCAGCCATAGCGTCTTAACCTTGCCGCGCGCGACCCCCACAAGGGTTTATGGACCGTTTGGAGATAGCCTCTAGGCGTCGATCGCGAAATGTCGCTTTGAAACGGCCCCGTTTTCGCGGAGTTGCGTTTCAGACCCTTACCGGTTACTCTGTCTAAGAGGACTCAATGGGTCGGCGTTTTCGCGTTCGAGGCGCGGCGTCGCCGCGCACTGGCGCTGCGCGCACACCCGGCCGCATTCCGTCTAGACGTCAGGAGAACTATGAGTACCTGATAAGCAACTCGGAGGGAGTGAGGGAGTGATCAGGAAAAGGGCCAATGTCATTGACCAAGCTTGGATGATCACGTGTAGACCTAGGTCACTTATCTCTCTGTACCGACCGTGAAGAGGGTCCAGCTATATTTAGTCAATGAAAGTAGTTAGTCAGTAGTTCTCTCGACTTTTGTGTCGTGACTAGGGTTTTGGATTTTAGTAATCATCTCGAGCACAGTACTGCGACAAGCATAACCGATTACTGTGTTTCCTGCTTGTGTTTCAGGCTATGTATACTCTTATGGCACGATGTGAAGAGTTAGGCAAAACGATGGGTCCAGTCTACGATCTCAGGAATCAAATCAAGGAAATCAGACGGCTGTTGGACTTGTTTGAATCAAAAGTCGCAGAGGATCCATTGCTGAAGTAGCATCATCTGAAAAAAATGATGATCAATACCATCAGAAATTATTATTTAATGTCAACCACAATGATGAATTTTGAAACCTAATGAAATTATATCGTATTATCACTGTGTCGCACTGTCTATATTGTATATTATTATGATGACTGTTATTTGTCTGCTATTGCTGTTAGTCACAAACCTGTCAGTCACGTTTCCACAGCTAAATCATTGAATTTACACGTAAAAGCATGCAAAGCCAATGGAACTGTTGAATCACCGATTTCATTGACAATTTCAATGTCATGTTATTTTCAGCCGATCAACTAGTGCCAAATGCAACTTCATTGCATTCGCACTAGAAAAATGGCAGTTGTCAACATATTATTTGCAGAATTTTATGTATATATATGTCATGTGATTTATAACATACAAAATATGCATTGTCATATTGAGCCGCAGAGCGTCTGGGCTCATCTGAGGTCTGTTGCTACGGTTATAAACGTAACATTTAAGTCGTGCGTAGTGACAACTTTGTTAGGCGCAGATATGCAGATACGCAGTTGCGTGTACACACATCATTTCAGCAACCTTCTGCATTCTGCATACCTCCCAAATCCCATTGGTTGATACAAATCGCTTGCCTGAAACTCCTGTTTTATGGTGCATTGTCACCCTAGCCCTAACCCTATTAAAAATAAAAATTAATTAATTGTAAAAATTATTTGTTGTCATTAAATTGTTGTAAATAAATCATGTAAATATTTGTGTTAATTGGGAAAAAATAGTTAAATGGATAAATATAAAAAAATACAGAAAACAGGTAAATAATAAAAATCTGATGGGATTCGATCCAAGGACCTTTGAGCCGTATTCCTATGCTGTACCCGTTGGGCTATCCAAACATATTGGCTTTCTAGATTATGGATGTGCCATAAATATATGAGAACACTGTGACATCATTGAGGCAGTTCAGGAATCCATGTTTAACCCTCCTCTTGAAGGTCAAAAGGTTATCCAACACTTACTCTTCGCATGTCAGCGGAAAGTACATTTCATGGTCCTTTCAATAAAGCCATAAAAATGCTAGGTCACCGCTGAAACAAAAAAGTTTTCCAATCGCTCCGTCAGACCATGTCCTCAGAAAATGTCTAAAATCTGCCCTGTGCCCCATTGACCTTTGACCTGTGACCTCCAATTTCGGCACAGTGATGGCTTTTCCTACCATGATGCTATACACCGACTATCACGAGCCTAGGTCGAGCCGTTTAGGTTTGTGCTGCAATTCTGCATTTCCTCCCTATACCTTAAGTTAAGGATGGAATGTTCCCCCTTCTTTTAACCTCTTGACCTTTGACCTTTGACCCCCAGCTTCGACATCCCAACTCGTTTTCGGATTACCCCCCACGTCCCGACTTTCGAATCCGTACGTCGAGCCGTTTAGATTTGTGCCCAACTGTTGACGGACGGACGGACGGACGGACGGACGGACGGACAATCATGCGATTCTACAAGCTGCATCTGACTACGTCCGATGAGCTAAAAATATTGCCTTTGGGAATTCGGTTAATACACGAGTCTAATAACCTTACCATATAAGGCAATATTAACTCTGTGATGTAGATATATATATATATATATATATATATATATATATCCAGTTTGAGCATTCCGATATCCACCAGTAAGTGCTAGTTATAAAACTTTTGGTGCTATACTCTAGTAGTAAACATTTGGTCTAGACTCTAGTAGTTACAAAAGTCAATCCTGGAACATTAAATTTGTAAAATTACATGGTTTTTTTTTATTTTAACTCCTACACTGACATTCAGTTTGACACATTAATAAAGCGAACTTTTCAAGTATATAAAAAAATAATAATTAAACAGCAATGATCATTATTAGTATTATTTACATAGACATGTTTGGCAGGTTGATATAATTAATTACTGAAGATATTTCACGCATATACATTATGTGAAGCAGTGTGAGCTACATAACACAACAACTTGTGGACACTTGCTTAAACACAATCCCACAACAATAATATATACAGCTAGCACCAGCAAACACAGTAAATGATCTAGGGCATCATTTGCATTCTGAGCTTGAAGGCCGTTGAATTATACAATAATACTCAAATGCACTTAGAATTCTCTCAGTCAAAATAGTCATTTGACCTATTCAGGTCTATAACTATTACCAGTATGACAATTCGTACGGAATACGTTAACCGTTGTGCATCTTAGAATAAATTTTAGATACTATCATGATAATACATGAAATGCTAAAAAGAATGTTCTATTCATGCTATTCGTGTGCAGTACAATCTGCAATGGAGTATGCATTTATGAAGATATGAATTTCAATTGGACTAAAATGTGCAACTTCTTGCTGGCACATGCATATATTGATTTTACAAGTATAGCAATAAACTGATTAAATTAAACTTTTATAAGTCCAGTAAATATACATATATTAAAATTTAAAAGGCAATGTATTCCATGCACTATAGTATAGAAAGATCACTCGTCATTGGATCATGTACATGCAATACAATAGGCCTACGCTGTTCGCTTGCATTATCTTCAGCAAGCAGTTGTATTCATTCAGAAACCACACACTGTAACTCTACCAGACAAGCACTAAACTGAAACCCACATGGGATGAAGAAACTGGAATATACAGAAACAGCTGGAGTAAATCTGTAAGGAAATGAGAACTTTCTGGAGGAAAATGAAAGAAACTACAATGCCAAGCCACTAGAGAAAGTTTATGGATCACCCAAGTTTCATATAATAAATCCATAAACGACTCAATTCAAAGAATAAATTCCATACCTTAAATATTTTTCTAACTGTTGGCAATTTATAGATTTGTAAATTTACCTTCAAGTTGGGTCTTTTAAAGTGGAACAAAATACTGTAACGGTCTGCGAAACTAAACTTGCATATTTTTTGACGCTTTTTGTGTTACCTGGTTTCTAAACACCCACAAGGTTACCTTAGGTATGGCAAAGTAAAAAGCCTAATAATAAATTATGTTATAAATAAAATGGACACATGAAGGGGAAACTCAACATTTCACATAATAGGCACGAAATAATTGATGCTGTCTGCACAAATTATTAGGCTAAGCAAAGAAGGATGTGTGCTTGCGGTTACATGACTGACCCTAGTTAGTCACTCAACCCTACATGAATAAACATTATTTCGGGCTGCCCCGCCGCAGCCCCAGTGGGAGGAAACAAGCCGATTTATTTTACATTACAATTAGGGGGGGCGTAACAAAAGAGTTCAAAATTAAATTAGTTTGATGTTACATTACTTATGCTTATACCAACCTACCTACTCTTTTAACTTTTATTTCGTTGTAACCGGAAACACACCACCTTTTGGCTTTTAATTATGCATTGAGGAATTCTGCATTCATTCATAATAATAATCTCTCCCCCCAGAGAAGGCAACCATTGTTTCATTTTCACGATTCGTAGAGATTCTCTAGACTAGGAAATTTCTTACATTACATTTCTTCTCTTCTTACATTGCATCATTTCTGAACAAAGCGCCCATCTTCACTTACATTAACAAGTCACGCTTGGAACAGCTCTGACTAAACAAACCATACATCGTTAATCGATACTGATGACCTCCGTTATGACCTGCACGTCGTCGTCCGAGTCGTTGTCGGCAGCGACCGCGACCTTGAGCGATTCGCGCGCCGCCACCAGGGGCTTTAGCTGCACGACGACGTTCTTCCTTGTTGCCGCGGACGACGCCCCGCCGGCCTGCGTCGCCGTTGGAAACCGTCGCTGCTGCTGCTGCTGCATGGGATGCGCGATGCCAACGCGCGGCGACACGCTGGGGCGCGGAGACATGTAGTGAGGCAGCTCCGGTTCGCCGCCAAGAGCGAGTGACCTATACGACCGATCCGGCCGCCAATCACGGACGGGGAGTCGCGACGCCGACGCGCCGTCGACGCCGCCCGCCGTCGACGCCGCGGCGTGCGGAGCGAGAAGCTGCGTGACGGGCGACGAGCGTTGGTACGGCAACGCGTGCCCGCCGCCGTCGGACATGCGGTCGAACGCCTCGACGACCATCAGCTGCGCGGCTCCGACGGACTCACGGTGCGTGACGAAGAAGCCGTCGTTGTTGCCGTTGTGAACGAACGACATGTGATACGTGATGCTCTCCTTCGCGTTGTACTCGTAGATCTTCTTCATGCCGCACATGTGACACGAGAACAGTAGCGGGAGTCCGGCTCCGCTCGCCGGCACGCCGCTGCCTTCAGGCAGACCTGAGATGTCTGCCGACGGGTAACCTTCTCTGTTGGCCATCGTCGGATTAGGATAATTCGTGTAGTCGGCGGCGTAGTGAGGCGAATCGCCGGGCGAGGACCCCGACAGCGAGACGTCGATCATGTTATTCAGGACTACTCTACAGCTTCTGTACAAGTGCACTGGGACAGGCCTGCGAGTCGTCCACATCTTGATGACTTCCTCACTGAGTCTGTGCAGCACTACCCGCTGCTGCATGCGCTTGCAACATGCTAAAAACACTCTCGCCCTCCGATTGAGGCCTGTTCGCACTGTCCGTTTCCACTCTCTCATCTGCGCCTTAGTAAACTTCATTTTATGTGTGTAACCGGGTGCTTGGCCCTTGGGCCTGCGATAGACCACGGGACAGCGGTACAGGTAATCACGATCGCGAAGTTTTCCCGTCTGCGTCGTGGTTACCGCTCTGCAGAAGTCTTCATACGGTGCCACTTTCGGTTGCACCGAGACTACAGGGACAATCTTGTGCATGTTCTTACCTAGAACCGACGAAACGTCCACGGAGCCGATAGCGCGACGGCTGAACGTTGACATGTCAAATGGTTTCGATTCGTGCACAACTCTTTTGCTCGGACTGATATTACGATATACTTCCGAGCGCTCTGCCCCTTTTTTCATCAGTCCCAGATAACCTAGATAGCATGACTCATCACTCGCTGCCTCCTCCTCCTCAGCTTCCATCACATCCATCTCTTCTTCCTCAGTTTGGCAGGCGGGTGTGTGCGCTTCTAGTGTCGCTATACTTGTAAACTCTCTCTGGCACGACGGGCACACAAAAAACTCGACGATATCTGAGCTACCGTCGCTGTCCCCTAAACCCCATGTAATACCTGAAATTTAATGATGATATAAAATTGTTTAGAACAAACACAAATTAGTCACACAGTTATGTACATGATAATATTCTGCTGTAGTCACGCACGCACACATAGACACACAAAAACAACACTTGGGCCATGTCGCTATATGCAAGATAGAACACGTTTAATTTATTTATTATATCAAAGAAATGAACTACCCAATAGGACTTTTAATTAAGTTTCTCATAAAACACATCAGCTACTCATTCACATCATTGTTTGCGGAAAGCACGATGAGACAACTGACCTGACATTCCTGGGTCATCTAAATCAGAATCGTCTTCGTCATCATCATCATCAACTCCTCGAATAGCAGGTGGACTGAATGTCTTTCTCAGTCCCCTCGGAGACATGGGCACAATGGGGGCTCGGTTAACACTCGACACCTGTGCAATGAGGTTATAATCAGACAAAATATAAACGATCAGTCATATGAGCTCTGCTGGAATGGACTTATGATCAGGATATCATGCATATATGATGCATTCATTCGCTAAGTTTCCTTCACTTTGATTGATTGCAATGACCTCAACTAATACTTGATGAAGACAAGAAAATTAATTTGTTTAATAGCTTAGTTATACTTAATTTATCATTATTTTAATATTGTACACTATACAGAAATGTTCTGTGTCACCAACTAAATAGAATGGAACTCATAATGAGATGGGGAATCAGGAGATTTTTCTCATTGACACACGTATATGCATATTAGCGATGTTTGCGCAATAATAAAGATCAAAGACTGAGGCACTCGCACACTTACCTTGTGCCTCTCGGGTGTGTCTGGGCTGATCACTGAGACAGTCCGATGAGACATCTTCACCACTGTGTAACCAAGCCGTTCGGACCTCGGCCGCAATTTCATGCCCGCCTCCGCGTCGCTGCGTAGCGGAGACAGAGGCTCACTCTGGTGTCGAGTGATCGTCACCCGCGGACTGCTGACGTGTCTTTTTTTGCCGACGGCGCCCGCAGAATCTTCGACTTTCCGCGTAGAGGAACTCTTGTGCGGTGATATGACAGACTGCTCTTTCTTCTGCGAAACACTATCCACGGCGTTCATTCTGCAGTCACTAACGTACAGTGCTTCCCTCGATGTCATCGGAGTCTGATTCGCTGCCGTGCGCTCTTCCACTGGGGGACTTGAGGTAGGTGATTCATTGTGCAGCTTTCTTGCAGTGACGTGCTGCTTGCCAACAGTGACAGGCTGTGTTAAGTCCTGCTGCGACAGTATCACCAACGGCTGCATTTTGAGTTTTTGAACCTGGCTCGTTTGTGCGTCCCGCTCTCTCGGGCGCAGGTTAAACTGTTTTCGAGCCTTCGCCGTGTGCGGAGGACCAGGATTCTCGTGTACGGGCACGGCAACCGGTGCACCACCTTTACTCTTGTCTTGCACGAGCACGGTGACCGGCGCACCACCTTTACTCTTGTCTTGCACGGACGCCACACAAGCAGCGGGAACGCACAACAAGCTCGCCTGAGTTCTTAGACTCGCTGACGAAACACTGTTCGCATCCGTCGCAGCGCCATCGTGCGTGAATAGACGACTCTGCTTCGGCTCATCGTCGAGTCGACTCTGCAGGACGGGAGGCTCGCGGGGAGATGGTCTGTCGCTTGTAGCCTGCTGCCGGGTCTGCATGCCAGCTCTATTCGCTGTGCGTCTTCTGTATAACACGTCCAGCGAATTGTGGTACGTGTAGCCTTTGATGATGACGTTTTTGAACATATCACGCCAGGTCTCCTAAAAGTAAAGGGGCAACAATTCTGTAAAGGATACTGAGGAAGACAACAGGAAGGGCAAATGGAAGTCAAGGAAAAATGTCATTCACTGTACAAATGTTTTTTTAGGAACACGTTGCTTATGTAATGCAGGGTGTTACTGTAGAACAGTGCTGGAAATAGCGCATCTACCTGGTAACTTGTGAGCAGGACTGGCCCCTAATTTTTTCAAGGATTTCAATATAGGTCAATGTTTCCCCTGGCCAAAATGGTCTGTGAGGTGGTAAATGTTTTTGTGTGTGTTTGCGCGTTTCGAGGTCCTAGCAAAGCGAGCACCTCAGGTGAAGGAGCAGTCAGGTGAAATTTTTTGAAAAAATGGTGCAATTTGGTACATCCTAAGCTATATTCTGAACACATTGTAAGAGACTTTAGTTAAATAAAGTGTAGTTTATTGATGGAAGAACATTGATTTTCGTCAGCGAGGCGGTGTTTTGGACAAATTTCTGTGTGGCGGCTCATGTCAATGCAGGAGAAACAATAAGTTAAATATAGACAATAATAGTAGAATATTTGAAATTTTTGAAAATCATGACTGCATGGGGCTTTTAGACTTAGTTCAAAGACTACTCTATCCCAAATCAACACTACATTGAACAGCACCCTATTATCAGTAGTATACTAGAATATATACCAACCTCTTTCCTTGGTTTCATCTTTGTAATATCTATCCATGGTTGATTCCTTGGCCACCAGGGGGGTCGGAATACCTCCTTACCCCAACCAACCTCATTACGCCCCGTAGAACATTTAATCATGTGTGGAATAAAATTAACCAGCTCTTTCTGCAAGATAAATAATGATGACAAATTATAATCAATACGTTATATCAACCATGCAAACTCTGGCACGTGAAACTTACGATGCAAGATGCATAACTGTTTTATATAACTTGTGTAGGATAGCGCACGCTCCCGCAGAGAGTAAATATATCGCCTCACACTATTCCCCAAATGCAATCACTAGAAACAACACACCTCTTCGTTCCAAGTGATAAATAATAATAGAACGCCGCAGGTAATCACTATACACCACGCCCTTAGCACCCGAGTACACTAATGACTCGAGGGCCGATCGGCCATGGTTATTCCCCAGGTATCATCTCGGCTCTTACCCTTTTCGTAGCCTTTAAGTCCAGTTTTCGCCTAGCTCCCACACCCGATTCCAGCTCTACTTCTCCGATCTACCTTCCGCCAACCTACCTTCACCCCGCCGAGCGCCTCCGCGAACCGCAACTCTAAGGTACGACATTACTTGTATTCAATTACGCGACACGCGGCGCGAGTGTTACGACGCGGAGACATCTGTATAGTATCATATGAGTGTGTTTGATTAGAGTGAAATAGACGCACGAAGAGTAGTTTTCATAATACTGTGTTTCTGTTATCTATTGACGCAACCTGGCGCTACCCTCTAAACGGGTGCCACTACGGCACCTACTAAACCGAGAACCTGGTAACGGGAAGTGCGAGACTTCCTTAGACTTCTAACTATTTATAACTTTCATAACAGAGTATTGTTGCGATACATGATGACACCAAATAGCCATCATAATGCAGAGGGCATGGCGTCTTTCAGTATTTACTAGAACACAAGTTCAAATTACTTACCAATGTCATTGAGTCCAAGTCTGCAGCTTTTCCATTCATATCTAGTGGTGGTAGATAAGCCATCTTGTTCCTCATATCTTTTCTTTTCATCTAAATGAATATCTGGTTTCTAAAACCAAACAGTTTAAAATGCATTCATTATTATCCCATAGGAAAACAAGTCTGTGACATCCTTTTAACATGTCAGCTACTAATTTCTACAAATCTTTAAAACATAATTTTAATAACACAAATAACAACATTATAACCATATTAAATTGTAGTTTTATTATATATTTTTTTTAATGTATACATGTAGATATTAAATGTAAATATGTTTTTGCCTTATGATTAAAATGTATTTCAAAATAAGTTCTCAGAATGCCTCAAAAGTTTCTTTTTGAATCTAGATCTTTTTAATTCCAGGGAGGGGCACGCTCTGTACCACTTTAATACTCCGTACAGACTGCCAATTTGATATGGTATTAAACTGGTGCACGACAGGCGCGCGTGACATTTTTGCAATGTGGACACGCTATCCCGCTCCAAATACGAGTTGGCCCGCACCAATTTGGCCCCGCAAATGAAGGAGGGCCAGGCCCGGGATAACTTAGCCCAAGATATGTTATCCCACACCAAACTGTGTCTGTACGCAAGAACCCGGGATAACTTAGCCCGGACCAAGATAGCCCGCTTGTGTGTGTGTCTGTACACAACACGCGTGCCAAAAACCTGGCGCTAAATCGCAATACGCATGCGATTATGTCACGTTCCTGTCTGTGGGGTGACGTAGCAAGCTGAACTGAGAACTGATGACTCGTTTGATGTAGGATCAAATTTGCAGTCTGTACGCTACGATTTGATGCTATATGAAAATATTACTTTAACCACCACAATACAATTTTGGAAAAGTTATTTTCTTAACCAGAAGGCTGCTGCAATTTGGAAATATGACATGTCTAAGCGATTCTACGTACAGTACACAATCTATTATCCGAAATTCTGAAAATTGAAAAGCTCCGAAAACCGAAAGTTTTTTCGTGGAGGTCGTCTGCCAAATCTCGCGTTTGGCTACACAAGGTTCACTGTAGAAATATTAATGTGTTTGGCATTACTCTTAGTTACATATTGTACTGTGCCAGTAGTACCCCAGTACAGCCACTTGCCCCCTTGAAAACTTTGGTATTAGTATTGGCTAGTTGCAGGATATATGGTATGTATATATATATCTGTACTGTACTGCCATTCCGAAATCCGAAAGATTCTGAATTCCGAAACGTGTCTGGTCCCAAGAGATTCAGATAATAGATTGTGTACTGTATTAATACTCGTGGCACTGTGTCATGTATAGCAGCATTCGAAACTAAAGCGAGTCCAGAGTCAATCACCATGATATACTGTCGGACACCTTGGTTTGACATGTGCAGGCGTCCACGTGACTCCCTGAAATTTCGGCTATACCAGTTCATTCCAAAGCATGGCCTCAACGAATTTTGCCAGTAAATGTATCATAAGAATTGGCAGATGTGTAGCACAAATATTCTGCAATATCCAAACAACAGTGCGAGCTGCCGTATTGATTGATGTGCAGAGTGCACCGCATTGTTTCATGTCTGTTACATGAAGCTCCGAGCATGAAGTGAGATGTGACACGTTGAAAAATATGTACAATTGACCGAGATAATAAATATAGGCGGTATAAGACAGTTGACACTGAGAAGACACTTTGAAAATGTACTGAGCCCATATTAAATGCTAAAAATTGAACCTTTGGAAGTTATGTATATATGATGGGAGCAACATATACTCTCCTTGAATATGTCAGGCAGAGATTTCCAACTTGCCTGATATCTTCAAAAGGCAAGGCCTGTAACAGCAATGAGTGAATGACTGCTGGCTGAATATTTTTGGACTTTCTCTATCTTTATTTTGCACTTGATTTTCAGGGACATGGGTTTTTACATGCTATTTACCAACTTTTTTGTACTTTTGTTTATTTTTCCATGTGGCATTTAGTATATTTATTTTTTACATTTAGGACACAAAAAAGACAGAGTAGACAACAGTGCACAGAATTGCAGGTATTGATTGCTAAACACTACAGCAGTACGGTAGATTACTACAGTAATGCATGGTTTCTTATACATATTGCACAGTAGTGCACCGCCATTGTCAAAATTTAACATCATCGCCATTGTAAAAATGTTCAAATGCTTTCTAAAACATTCAATTTTTTTAAATTTTGCTAGAAGAAGACCCCCCCCCCCAGAACTCCTCTCTCCCAGTCCCCCGCATCCACCTGCATCCACATGCGTGCCTACAACACACCTTTGCATCCATCATGCACGTTTTTCCAAACTGGCCATTACCTCCTTTGTCTAATTTTCCCTCAGAATAAACCCTGTAATGGTAGGGGACATATTCCTATAGCATCCAGTATGTGCAAATCAGCAAGACATCAAAACACACATATACCTCCAGGGACTAAGCTACTATAGCAGGAAATGTACCACTAAAGACAGTAATCAGTATATAGCCAGATGAGAGACCGGATACCAGAGAAGCGTCGCCTGAGAGGTGTTGATCCTGCCGCTAAGCGCGAATCTTGCGCGCAGTTCCGCGGCAAGGCGCACGCGACCGCGGGAACGTCCTACGAAAGTATCACGCGCTGGCAGCTATTGATCCGTGCGCAAATCGAAGGCCGGCGCATGGATCAATTGCTGCAGCGAACAGTCTCGAATTTTAGCGGGTCTAATTCACTAGCAAACATATGCACACGCCATCGCGCAGGCCTAATAGCGATGTTTCACGTGACGTCATAGATCAGGTCACGTGTATTTGTTATGTGTTGTGGTTGCAGAAGCAAAGCGTGCTGCTTACATTTACAGATGAATGACCACATGTTCTGATAGAAAGCACTGTTTATGTAGTGCACGTACACGTGCGTGCTGCGTGCGTGCGTGCGTGTGCACGTACACGTGCGTGCATGCGTGCGTGCGTGTGGAACTTACACGTGCGTGCGTGCGCGAGCAGTGAGGGTGGAGCTTCCCTGACTGAGCCGAGCTGCTCCGCGCTGTGTATTCTGCGTCAGGAAGGGGGCAGAAGCGGCGTGATCATTGTCCTGCGTTGTGTATCCTTGCGTAGACTTGTGACCGAGCTCCGCTACACCCTACATGGTCACCTAGCAGGGCGGACAAGCCGCCAGCAGCTAGAGAGCAGTGGGAGGGTGCGAGCTTCCCTGACTGAGCTAAGCTGGCTCTGTGTTGTGTCATGTGACCCCACGTGTGACCTGCAGGTGTCCGTCCAATTAAACTATAGGTCAAGGTGCAGCATGGCTTTCCTTTCAATCCGCTGCTAGCCCACGTGGCTACGAAGCCGTACGTCTTCAAGGTTGAAGTAATGCTGACGCATGCTAATTTCTATAGTGTATGTTGTACAGCGGGTCGGGGTGTGCCTGTATAGCTCCCAAATCCCATGAGTGTGGCGCGAGCATGAGTGTGTACGTGCGAGTGCACGTACAACGCGGGCTGCGCG